CGCGGAGCGGCTGGTAGTTTCGAACCGCTGACCTTAAGGTTCGCAGCCCGATTCGTAACCACTACGCTACCAGAGTTCCTTTTACTGATCTTAGTTGAGTTTTTATAATGTATATCCAGCATTCAAGGTAGAGAATAAGTTCAGCCCCCAGAGGGTACCATTCTCAACGTCCATAGCTCGCCACTGTTCTGATGTCTGCCATCATAGATTGATTGATTGATTTTGTATGTTTTTTACTCATGGAGTATGCACTGGGTTTTTTGTTGTTGTTTTTTCTTCAACATAATCTTCTTGAGAGTCATTCCTGTTGAGTGTATCAGTAGTTCATTCTTTTTTGCTGAGTAGTATTCAGTTGGGTTAAATCCACATTTTGGCTGTTATGAGTAATACTTTCATAGACAAACTGTACATGTCTTCTTTGGAACATATTTCTTCATTTCTCATTGGTAAATGAATACCTAGGAGTAGAACATGGGTGGTTGTAGATTTAACTTTATAACTGACTAAGCAGTTTTCCAAAGAAGATTATCATTTTACACTCCCACCAACAATATATGAAAGTATGATTTGTTCCAGTTCTTTTCAACTTTTGGTGATGTCATTGTTTTGAATTTTAGTCATTTTGATGTGTGTGAAATATTACTGTAGTTTTCGTATGTATTCTCTTGATGACTACTGATGTTGGGCACCTGTTCATATACACACTGTAATTTATTTATCTTTTGAGAAATGTCCAAGGCCTGATCTTTCTCCTGCAGAGTAACTGGTGGCCTTGAACCACCGACCTTGTAGTTCACAGACCAGTGCTTATCATATGGAGCCACCACACTATTCCAAATATACAGGTATGCATCACGTAACACCGTTTGTGGCAATGTCTGATATACCTGTGGTATCGCAAAGTTCTTTGTTTTGTGTTTTTTTTTTTGAAAGTTTATTACTTTATCCTAATGGTCTTAAAAGGGGTCTTAAAAGGGGTCTTGGTGGTTCCCTGGGTTAAACATTGGGCTGCTAATGGCAGTGTTGGTAATTTAAACCTCTCAGCCACTGCTTGGAGGAAGATGAGGTGATATACTTCTGTAAAGATTTACAGTCTCTGAAACCCTATGGAGAAGTTCTACTTTGTCCTACAGGATCACAATGAATTGGGCTGGACTTGTTAGTGAGTTTCAGTTTTTAATGGATATAAAGACTTCAAGCCCTCAGTGTAAATGAGAAGTGGGGCTCCAGGGTGCATCTTGGTCCTCTCAGCAGTGCCTCTTCCACCTCCTCCTTCACTTCCTCCTGGCCTTATTCACCTGCCCAGCAGCTGTGCAGCTTTTCCCTCCCTATACAGGGCAATGCTTGCTTTGGCTCCTTTGCTTTATACATGGGCAGTGCTCCCGGGCTCTAGGTGGTACCTACACATGATTAAGAAGCATTCGCACCAACAGGGTTGCAGAAATCAGGACCGTTATCAGCAGTCCTACTACTGGCACCTCCAAACCCCACTCCACAGCCACTTCTCTGTGCTGTATACCCCAAGCATGCTAATCCTGCTCCCATACATGCACATAAAGTCCCAGCCTCACACCTAGTAAGGATACAGCTCTCAGAGTTTGTCCAGTGGACTCTCCTAATGTTTTAATATAATTAGACTTTATGAGTATTTAACTATGGATTGTACAGAGACTGCCTGTATATACTGTGGTATCCATACAACGTCCAAATCACATGTACTATTTCACAGACTATATCATGGACATTGGAGTCCTCGTGTGGCGCTATAAGATAAGCACTGGACCACAAAGTCAGTTTAAACTGCGACGTCGATGATTCAAGTTCATCATGCGCTCCTTGGCAACCCTATACAAGGTCTCTATGAGTTGGACCCAACTCAGTGGCACTTAATAAGAACAACATCATGGACATTCAGCAATGCATACCCGTGTTACATAAACAGATGTTATATTCTGTCAGTTGGTTCTGTGCCCAACAGAATAAAACGCTGTCCAGCCCTGCACCATCCTGATGATTATGCTTGAGCCCATTGTTGCTGCCACTGTGTCTCGCTATCTCGTTAAGGGTCTTCTTTTTCCCTGAGTCTCTTACTTTTAGTGACTTACTATTAGTGACGTCTTTCTTCAGGGACAGTTCCTTCCTGACATGTCCAAAGTACAAGAGACAAAGTCTCACCATCTTCCCTTCCAAGGAGAATTCTGATTGCATGTCTTCCAAGACAGAGTTGTTTGTTGTATATACTCGCAAGTAATTATAAACACTATTAGCTGAGTCTTTACTCAATGTCTCCCAATGGTGACATCATATATAAATGAAAAAACCGAAGTGAGCTGCTGTCGAGTTGATTCTGACTCAGGGTGACTCCATGTGTTGCAGAGTAGAATTGCGTTCTTTTCAGGTTTTCAAGTTGGTGACATTTACAAAGCAGATCACCAGGCCTTTCTTTCGAGACCCGTCTAGCGTGCAGATTCAAACTGCCAACCTTTCAGGTGATGCTCAAGAATTTATAGCTACACTTGAGCACATTGCTACAGCCACCGTGCCACTCCATCTCATTGGGGGTTCTTCCTCTTCTTTGCTGACCCTTCACTATGTCCTCCAGGGACTGTTCTTTTCTGATAATATGTCTGAAGTATAAGAGAAGAAGTTGTCATCCAGGCTTCTAATGAGCATTCTGACTGCATTTTTTCCAACATAGATTTGTTTGTTTATTTGGCAGGCCGTGGTACTTTCAGTATTCTTCCCCAAATCCATAACTCAAATACATGAATTCTTCTATGGGTATTGATTTCACAGAGAAGGCATTCAGCATTTTGTCGTTAAGTGTGAAGTTCCCTCAAATTAGACCCACTGCCATTGAGGTAGTTCTGACTCATTGGAGTTCTGGTGTAGCGCTGTAGGATAAGTGCTAGACTACTAACCCAAAGATTGGTGGTTAAAACCCACCCACCACTCCTCGGAAACCCTCTGCAAGGTTGCTATGTGTCAGAACTGACTTGACCACACTTAACAACATCAATAACGCAGCAACCGTATAGGACAGAGTAGAAGTGCTCCTTTGGATTTTTTGAGACTATGACTCTTTATCCCACTGGTAGTTTTGAACTGCTGACCTTTGAGTTAGCAGGCCATCGCTTAACCCAATATGATACTAGCTGTAGATTTTTGTAAATACTCTTTAGCTTCTGAAATCGAACGCATTCAGTATGATGTGGCCCTAGACACCAGGACCTTGTAAATACTCTTTATTAGGTTATTAGGAGCCCTAGTGGTGCAGTGGTTAACTAACTACTTGGCTCCTAACTGGAAGGTCAGTGGTTCAAACCCACCAGCTGCTCTACAATAGAACGATGTGGAAGTCTGCTTTTGTAAAGACCTGGTGATCTGCTGTTACTGCTTCTTGTTGTTGCTAAGAGCTGTCAAGTTGGTTCTGACTCATAGTGACCCTGTAAAGAGTTTCCTAGAAGTGACTGGTGAGTTTGAACCACTGACCTTATGATTAGCTGTCCAGTGCTTATCTTACAGCGTCACACTGGTATTCCTGTTCTGTCTTTCAGGGTCGCTGTATGTTGGAATTGACTTGATGGCAGTGAGTTTTA